CGCACGCGCGTGTTAGGAATAAAGGTATTTTTTGTTTGGGTCAGATTCCAGCTGTCCGTATGCCTTGGGTCTTGATGTTCGATATATCTGTGGTTTGGGCAGGTGGTGGTGAGAGATACAGTGGTGGGTTAATTGAGAAGGAGTGAGAGGGATGGGTTGACTGAGGGGGAGAGTGGTGGAGAGGGATGGGTTGACTGAGGGGGAGTGTGGTGGAGAGGGATGGGTTGACTGAGGGGGAGTGTGGTGGAGAGGGATGGGTTGACTGAGGGGGAGTGTGGTGGAGAGGGATGGGTTGACTGAGGGGAGGTGGTGGAGAGGGATGGGTTGATTGGAGAGGGGTGGTGGAGAGGGATGGGTTGACTGAGGGGGAGAGTGGTGGAGAGGATGGGTCCGATTGAGAGGGCTCCCCATCTTTTCTTCTCTCTCTACTTACTTTCCTTTTCTTCCCTCTTCCTATCTAAATAACCTCCCATCACCTCTTAATATCTTCCCCTCCTCCTCTCTCGTTTCTCCCTCCTCCTCCTCCCCTCCTCCTCCTCCTCCTCCTCCTCCTCCTCCTCCTCCCTCCTCCTCCTCCTCCTCCCTCCTCCTCCCTCCCTTCTCCACGGTGAATAATTACATCAGTTAGACAACAAATTGTGGTGTATCTGTCAATTGAAGAGAGAGAGAGAGAGAGAGAGAGAGGAGAGATAGTGAAGGAGGGAGGATAGAGGATAGGGAGAGACAAAACAGGGAGGGAAGAGGTGGACGGAGGAAAATTAATAAAAGTCTCTCTCTCTCTCCTGGGTGTCATATCACTGCCACGGTCTCATTAATCCATAGTATCGATTTTGGACAGATAAATGTTTGTTTTGTTCAACACTCTTAGTTCCTGTTCACTGTTCATTATGGTAACCTCGTGTTCACTGTTCAATATGGTAACCTCGTGTTCACTGTTCATTATGGTAACTTTGTGTTCACTATCATTAAATTCTCCCACTGTTTTACCGTTGTTTTCTGTCTTATTACCGTCAGTAAATTGTTCATCTGTTTCACTGTCTATTAACAAAATATCGTGTGCAATTTCCATTCAATATTTACCTTGAACTATCCAACTGGTTATTCTAGACCTAAATTAACCCCCCCCCCCCCCCACCTTCACAATAAGAACATTTAATTATTTAACTAATTGATACGGTGGCTGAGTGGATATTGCTCTCACCTCCCGTCCTAAGGTTCGGTGGTTCGATCCCCTGGTACTCGTAATCAGTTCACCCAGCTGTGAAATGAGTACCTGACGTTACAGTTGAGGAAGAGAAGGTGGTCGAATACAGTGTCTGTCACCATGTTTTATGTTTACAGAGTCTATCGGGCTGTCATGTAAGTCTGTCTGTCTGTCTGTCTGTTTATTTGCATTTCTGTATCTGTTGTACTATCTGTGTGTGTGTGTGTGTGTGTGTGAAATAAATTGTATACACATATTAATACCAGTATACATTAACTAAGTATACATATAATACTGTAGAACGACTCGTATACATGTCAATTAATACTTGGAATAAGTTTGGTTAGGTTAGGTTAGGTTCCCACTTACGACAGTGATGATGTCTGCTCATGTGTAGTGTTGGATTATTACAGTGTTGGAATATTGTGTAGTGTTGGATTATTACAGTGTTGGAATATTACAGTGTTGGAATATTGTGTAGTGTTGGAATATTACAGTGTTGGAATATTGTGTAGTGTTGGAATATTACAATGTTGGAATATTGTGTAGTGTTGGAATATTACAGTGTTGGAATATTACAGTGTTGGAATATTACAGTGTTGGAATATTACAGTGTTGGAATATTGGTGTTGACAAGAAGAAACACTGCCATATTGTTTTTTCATGAAGGGTGGAGGTGGTTAAAGTGGGGTGATGAGGGAAGGGTTGGTGCTGGGGAAGGGAGGTTGGCAGTAGGAGGGGAGTAGGGGGGAGATGGGTGATAGGAGGGAGTGGAAGGCTGGTTGATGGGGGAGGGGGTAATATTGGTTGGTGTTGGGGGGAGGGAGGGAGGAGGGGGGAGTTAATTTTTTTATTTTGCTGGTTACAGTATAGTTGATTGTGCACCCCATACCATCCTGTGAGCGGCAGCAAGGATTACAGAATATATTTAAGGGTCAGAATAATTAACCCCGTGGTCAGGATATTATGGCAGTAACAGTGGTTTAATGAATTCTACAGTTGTGAGTATGGCAACCAATTCACTTTAGAGTGGTGGCAAGAGAGATCCATCAGTGTAGATGGTCTGTGTGATGTTATCAGTCTGTAGAGTGTGTACTGTGTACTGTGTGCTTATCTCACTTCTCAGTGCATATGAAGATGCTCAAATTATAGGTAATAATGAACCAACACACATCTATGGCGGGGGTCTAGACAAGTGTATTGGTTTTAATATATAATACACAACTCATAGCTCTGATGTTGTCACTGATCTTATGTCTGACCACAGCCCAATCCAAGCTAGTATACATGTAGCCAATGACACCCCCACTGGTGGTAAACTCAACAGACGTAGAATCACAGTCAAGCAAGAACATGAAAGCCAGTTCATAGACTTCATCCATGACTGGTACAAGGACTACAAGCCTACTACAAGCCTGACAACTACCAAAGTTTCCATGACGATCTGATAGATAGGACTTATGCATACTTCACCAACAATGATTCCATCAAAAAAAGGAGAAAACGTGGTCAGCATAATGGGAACAGGCAACAGCAGTGCTATAATGACCCTGAGCTGAAGAAACTCAGGGCTAGGGTTAGGAGGGTGGGTAAGGGTTACAGACAAATTAGAACACCTCAAATGTTTCAATTGTATCAAGCTTCCCTTGCTGCTGTCAGGGAACGTGTAAACGAACTCAGACAAAATGCATGGGAGACATATGTCAACAGCCTGAACCAACACACATCCCTCAGCAAAGCCTGGAAAGACAAACACAATCAGAGGTAAAAACAGTAGACACGTCTCCCATCCAAACCCTCTGCAAAAGTCGAATGAGCTAGTAACAAAGTAGGCTCATGTGTCTAGCTATGACATGTTACCAGCTGTAGAGAGAAGTCTGTAGAGAGAAGTAATCTTATTAACTTTATGCTGGGCAAACAGCACGATGAGTGTGATGCTCCATATACTGAGTGAGAGCTTGACGCCGCCCTCGCCAGGGGTAGGTCTTCTTCTCCTGGAGAGGACGGAGTCACCTACAACATCGTTAGACTACTAAGGCGTGTGCCGGGCAATCCATTATTGGTATTGTACAATATGAGCTATGCTGAAAACCAGACAGCCTGACGCTTTCGTCCCATATATCACCAACTAGCTGCTCTGTGTCAAACCTTGAGAGGATGGTTCTGCAGATTCTTATATGAATCAGAGAACACATGTCCCCAATATAAATGAAGCCACCCATGGTAAAGGTGTACATAACTGGGGAGAAGGAGGTAACGGGTAAGGGAGGGGGGCAGGGAGGTAAGGGAGGTGGTGGGGGTAAGGGAGGTGAGGGGATAAGGAGGATAAGGCATCAGTATCAACAAACAAACAAAATCAATTAAGTATTTTTTCTCCTTAAGGTCAAGGATAATTAAGTAAATAGTTACTTATCCTTCAAATCTATCTATCTATCTATCTATCTATCTATCTATCTATCTATCTATCTCTCTCTCTCTCTCTCTCTCTCTCCTCCATACACCAGCTATTATAGACGTATTTAAAGTTGACCCTTGAGGTGCACCAGCTGTCTAAAGATGGTAATATACTTGTACCAGTGCATAGATCAAGTAACCATCTGTCTCCTTGTACCAGCTGCCTGACGTAGAGACTAATACCACCTGGACCACCTGCCTGAGACTAACCTGAATACCACTAACCAGCTGTGTTATAATAGAGTACCTAGATCATAATTATGTACCATCTGTCTAATTAATCCACCCCGTCACTGTACCATCTGTCTAATTAATCCACCATCTGTCTAATCCACCACGTTACTGTAACGTCTGTCTAGTTAATCCACCCCGTCACTGTAACATCTGTAATTAATCCACTCCGTCACTGTACCATCTGTCTAATTAATCCACCACGTCGCTGTACCATCTGTCTAATTAATCCACCACGTCACTGTACCATCTGTCTAATTAATCCACCCCGTCACTGTAACATCTGTCTAATTAATCCACCACGTCGCTGTACCATCTGTCTAATTAATCCACCACGTCACTGTACCATCTGTCTAATTAATCCACCACGTCGCTGTACCATCTGTCTAATTAATCCACCACGTCACTGTACCATCTGTCTAATTAATCCACTCCGTCACTGTAACATCTGTCTAATTAATCCACCACGTCGCTGTACCATCTGTCTAATTAATCCACCACGTCACTGTACCATCTGTCTAATTAATCCACTCCGTCACTGTAACATCTGTCTAATTAATCCACCACGTCACTGTACCATCTGTCTAATTAATCCACCACGTCACTGTACCATCTGTCTAATTAATCCACATGTGTCTTATGGTAATTAACCTATTTCTGCCACCTGTGACCACCTGTATGTCATTAACCACCTGTGACCACCTGTTCATCAACCACCTGTGACCACCTGTTCATTAACCACCTGTGACCACCTGTTCATTAACCACCTGTGACCACCTGTTCATTAACCACCTGTGCCCACCTGTATAAATCATTAACCACCTGTGACCACCTGTTCCAGCCAATGCCTATAAATCTGTTAACCACCTGTTCATTAACCACCTGTGATACCTGTTCATTAACCACCACCTGTGACCACCTGTTCATTAACCACCTGTGACCACCTGTTCATTAACCACCTGTGCCCACCTGTATAAATCATTAACCACCTGTGACCACCTGTTCATTAACCACCTGTGACCACCTGTTCATTAACCACCTGTGACCACCTGTATAAGGAATATATACCACTAAAAGGTGTACTAATTGAGTGTGTTCCCCCTACAGTATGGCAGTTGGCCCCGACGGTCTTACCGATTACCAGAGGAAGATGAATTCTCAGGAGAAGTGCAACAACTTCATGCGCCAGTTCCGTGATGACGAGTCGCGGGAACTTAAAAAACTCACCGCCAACCAGTTCATGGAGGTCTGGAGCCACTATGATGCTGATGGTGAGTGTGTGTGTGTGTGTGTTGTGGGAGTGTTTGATGGTGTGTGGATTGGTTGTGTGTGTGTGTGTGTGTGTGTTTTGTGGAGTGTTTGATTATGTGTATTTTGTTGTGTGTGTGTGTGTGTGTGTGTGTGTGTGTGTGTGTGTGTGTGTGTGTGTGTGTGTGTGTGTGTTTTGTGGAGTGTTTGATGTGTGTGTGTGTGTTAAGTTTCTTACGAGGGAAGATTGTTATTACCTGTGTATCTTAATTGTCCAGGTAAGGTGAGTGTGCTTACCGTACCCCTCCCCCCCCTTTCCTCCATTCCCTCCTCTTTTTCCCTTTTTCTTCGTCCTTTCTTGCTCTATTACTTTTTCTTCCTCCTGCTCTTTCTTCTTCTTCCTTCCTCCTCCTCCTCCCCTCCCTCCTCTTCCTTCTTCTTCCTCCGTCTCTTCCTCCTCTCTTCTTCCTTCTCTTCATCTCTCCTTTCTTCTTCCCTCTCCTCTTCCCTCTTCTTCTTCCTCCTCCTCCTCCTTTCTCTTCCTCTCTTCTTCTTCTTCCTTCTTTCTTCTTCTGTCTCTTCTTCCTCTCCTTCTTTCCTCTTTCTTCCTGACTTCTCTTCTGTTTCTAGCCTCATTTATCTTTATTTTATCTTGTATTTATTCTCTCTCTCTCTCTCTTCCCCAATAAGTCTGGCCACAGGTTATATCAGAATTAATTGTTTCTTATAATAAATCTCTTGGTCATTATTAGTAATTATCTTATTTATTTTATTTATTATTTATTTATTATGTATTTATTTATTACTTATTATTTCCATATTTTTATTTGCTTATTTGTCTGTTAAGGATATTATTATTTTCCTTGTTTTTTAATTTTTTTCTTATTACGTGTCATTAACTCTCCCAGTTATTCTTATTTTATATATTATTTATTATTATTGTTCATTTATTTGTTATTTATATATTTATTACATATTTATTGTCTATTTTAGTGTAATTATTTATTTTATGTATAATTTAACTTTTATTTTTCCGTGGATGTGGGGAAAGAAGCGGCCTAGATATTTATTAGTTAGCGGTGAATTTATCGTTCCTGCGTAATGGTGGTTATTTCTCATCCTCAGCGCTTACCCAACCTTGTTAATGTTAGCAGGGAGTAAGTAGCCGGTTGAACAAAGCTAAGATACCGAATAATGCAGTGGCAACACTTAGGAGATGAGCTTATGTGTGTGTGTGTGTGTATGTGTGTGTGTGTGTGTGTGTGTGTGTGTAAAAAGTCCTACCTTCATCCATCCAAACTTCTGTTGCTAGAGAGAGAGAGAGAGAGAGAGAGAGAGAGAGAGAGAGATGACGCTAATAATACCAATAACAGAGGCCAAGTTGTAGTTTGTGTTTTTGCGTTTGATTTACAACCCAACTATTAAATTATTTTCACTGTTGTTAAATCATTCAAAACTCTGGTGTATATACACTACCATACACCTCCCATAACACTACCATAACACTACCATACACCTAATACCATAACTCTATCATACACCTACCATAACTCTATCCCACACCTACCATAACACTACCATGCACCTACCATAACTCAACCATACACCTCCCATAACACTACCATACCTACCATTAACACTACCATACACCTCCCATAACTCTACCACACACCTACCATAACACTACCATAACCTACCATAACACCTACCATAACACTACCATACACCTCACCATAACACTACCATAACACTACCATACACCCACCATAACTCTACTGTACACATACCATACACCCACCATACACCCAACAATAACATACCCACCATAACTCTATCCCACACCCACCATAACCTCATCCCACACCTACCATAACACTACCATACACCCACCATAACTCTATCATACACCTACCATAACCCTCTATCCCACACCCACCATAACTCACCATGCACCTACCATAACTCAACCATACACCTCCCATAACACTACCATATACCCACCAATAACACTACCATACACCTCCCATAACCTCTACACACACCTACCATATACACTACCATACACCCAACACTATACACTACCATACACTACCAAACACCACCATACACCTCCCATAACACTACCATACACCTACCATAACTTACCATACACCTACCATAACACTACCATACACTCCTTAACTCTACCATACACCTACTATAATACACCATACACTTCCCAATCCCTACCACACACCTACCAACACACTACCATACACCTACCATAACACTACCATACACTACCATAACTCTACCACACCTCCCATAACCTCTACCATACACCTACCAATACACTACCACACACCTGCCATAACACTACCATACACCTCCCATAACTCTCACCATATATACCATAACTCTACCATACACCTACCATAACACTACCATACACCTACCATAACTCTCATCATACACCTACCATAGCACTACCATACACCCACCATAGCACTGCCACACCTACCATATCACCTACCATAACTACCATAACTCACCTATACACCACCATAACTCTACCATATACACCTACCAATACACTACCACATACACCTCACACCATAACACTACCAACTACCATAACTCTACCATAACTCCACCATAACACTACATACACCACACACTACCACACACCTGCCATAACACTACCATACACCTCCCATAACTCTACCATACAGACCATAACCTACCATACACCTACCATAGCACTACCACACCTACCATAAGGCCATCACCATACACCTACCATAACTCTACCATACACCACCATAACTCTACCATACACCACCATAACTCTACCATACACCACCAATACACTACCATACACCTACCATAACACTACCATACACCCCCATAACTCTACCATACACCTACCATAACACTACACACTGCCACACTACCATACACCCACCAACACTACCATATACCCACCATAACACTGCCACACACTCACCATAACTCTAATCACACCTACCATAGCACCATACACCTACCATAGCACTACCACACACCCACCATATCACTACCACACACTACCATAATCTCCACCATACACTCACAATACACTACCATACACCCACCATAACACCACCATACACCTACCAATAACCCCAAATTACACACCTACCATAACACACACACACCCACCATATCACACCACACACTACCATAACTCTCCCACACACCGCAACACCACTACCATACACCTACCATAACCTACCATACACCATAACACTACCATACACCTACCATAACTCCACCATACACCACCATACACCACCAATACACTCACCATACACCCAATCACTACCATACGCTACCATAACTCTACTATTGATTACCATAACACTACCATACACCCCTATATCACTCACCATACACTCATAACACTACCATACACTGCCATAACTCTCCCACACCTACCAATACACTACCCTGCACCCCAACACCATACACCTACCATAAGTGTGAGTGTGTGTGTGTGAAGAGTGTGCAGGTCGCCCTGGTTATGTGGAATGAAAGAAGGAATGAAACATGTGATAGAGAATGAAAGACGGGAATACAGTTAAGGAAGGTTGTTTTTGTATACCTGTGTTGTGTATGTACGTTATTTGTATACCTGTGTTGTGTATGTACGTTATTTGTATACCTGTGTTGTGTATGTACGTTATTTGTATACCTGTGTTGTGTATGTACGTTGTTTGTATACCTGTGTTGTGTATGTATTGTTATTTGTATACCTGTGTTGTGTATGTACGTTATTTGTATACCTGTATTGTCTGTGTATTGATTATTAAATGTTCAATTACTGTGTATATATATAAACAATTTGTATAGGTATATCCCAGTTGAGACCACACACACACACACACACACACACTAAGCTAACACGTCTCATTTGCTCCTTCAGGTAACGGGTACATTGAGGGCTCTGAGCTGGACGGCTTTCTGAAGGAGTTTGTTTCTTCTGTTAACGCTAATGATGCCGGGCCTGAGGTGAGTCTCTCTCTCTGTTTGATATTTACCTATAATTTAAGGTGTAAATACTCTTAATTATGTATTTCTCATAATTTTCACTAGACTTCCTCATTTTAATTTATAAATACTCATAATTTCCCGGAGTCGCATTTTTACTCATAAATAATCAGTTTTAATAAATTTTTGTAAATACTCATAAGTTTCCTTATATTTCTGTATAACTCATAAGTATGCCTAGTTTTAATAAATTTACCCTTTTAGCTCAAAATTACTCAAAATAATATAAACTCATTCCCGCTGTTAACTCACAAGTACCTTATAGTGTTTTTGTAACTCATAAATACTCACAGTTTTAATAAATATCCCTCTTTACTCATAAATAGTCATAATCTTGCCTATAATCCAATCTTTAACTCACAAATACTCATGACTATTACTCAATTCTCTCTTGTTAACAGATACTCATAATTTTCCTTTGTTTTCCTCTTGTTGACTCAAAATATTCACTCATTTCCTTCCTTTTCAATAAACCTTGACTCATAATTTTCCCTCATCCACGTGATAATACTCGATATTCCCCTCATATTTTCCCCCCAACTCGTAAAACTCTCAATAACCTCACAATTTCCCCTCACAACACCTCATATTTCCCCTCACAACTCCTCGTATTTCCCCCTCATACCTCCTCATATTCCCCCCTCATGCACACACTGATTTACCTAAGATTAAAGAGTCTTTAGTGAGGTCTGGTTAAAGAAAGACTGGATAAGACTTAAGAATTGGATTATTAGATGGTGTTAAGTCTTAGCAGGTTGTTTCTATGATTGAGTCAAGCTTTATGAGCGAGTCAATTTTAATATAATAGTGAGTCACACTTTATATGAGAGTGAGTCACACTTTATATGAGAGTGAGTCGCTTTTATGAAAATAAGTCCAGCTTTATGTGAGTGAGTCAAGCTTTATATGAGAATAAGGTTGTCCTCCTTGGCGACTTCAATGCCAGAGTTGGCAGAGATGCTGACATTTGGCAGGGAACCATAGGGAGAAATGGACTAGGCAAGAGTAATCCCAATGGCTTACTCCTCCTCAGCAGGTGTGCCGCACACAACCACACTATCACCAATACCTTGTTTGGGAGGCCACAAGTTCAAGGGTTCGTGGCAACTCCCACGATCCAAACACTGGCATCTCATTGACTACATCACTGTCAGAGAAAGAGATCGCCGAGATGTCCTCATCACCCATGCCATGCATGGCTCTGACCACTGTGACACTGATCATCGGCTCGTCAGAGCCAAGCTCTCACTTCACGTCGCCCCAAAGCGGCGAGGGCAACAAGCCTCCAGAAGAGGTTTTAACACTAGGCGTCTGTAAGATCCAGCGGAAGCACAGGATTTCAGAGAGCAGCTCGAACATGGGCTGATAAACAAACCGACAACAAACAACGTGAATCCCAGTGCCGAATGGGATATTCTCGACACTGTCATGACCCTCGGCCAGACCGAAAGAATACACCAGGACTGGTTTGATGAAAATGACCCGACAATCAATGCATTCGTCGATGATAAAGGTGCTGCTTTAGCTGATCAGAACTCTCCTCAGTCGCGGACCAAAGCTGATACCTTCGGCAAGAAGAAAGTGGCGACCCAATGGGAAACTCCGCAATCTAAAGAACGACTGTTTTGAAAATAAAGCATGTGGAACACAAAAATTTGCAGATCAGCACAAGATGTGCTAATTTTTCAATTCCACTAAAACATTTCATGGTCCAATCACTCGTGACGCAGCCCCCACTCTCCTCCGACGAGATCTTCCTAATTAAGGACGTTGAAGGCATCCTTCGGCGCTGGAAAGAGCACTACCATTTACTGCTCAACCGAAACACCGATGTGGATGTCCTGACTACCCAGCAGGTCCCTCAGCATCCAGAGCTGACCCACCTCAGCTGCCCTCCATCCCTGGATGAGGTAACTACTGCCATCAAACAGATGAAAAATAACAAAGCCTCAGGGCTTGATGGAATCCCAGCAGGAGGACCTCTGCCGTCTCCACTGTCTCATGTAGAATATATGGAAACAGGAGGAAATCCCCCAAGCTCTTAAAGACGCCTCCATCGTCAATATTTATAAGAACAAGGGAGACCGGTCAGACTGTGACAACTACGCGGATCTCGCTGCTGTCCGTAGCTGGCAAGATTATCGCCCGTGTCCTTCTTAACAGACTTCTTCCTGAGGCAGAAATCCCTCCCGAATCTCAATGTGGCTTTAGACCATCACATGGCACCACTGACATGATCTTTGCTGCCCGCCAGATACAGGAAAAGTGCAGAGAACAGCGTCATGACCTGTACATGGCTTTCATTGACCTAACCAAGGCCTTAGACTCAGTCAGCTGGGAAGCCCTCTGGTGGACCCTCAGCCGTTTTGGCTGCCCACCAAAACTCATCGCCATTGTGAGGCAACTCCACAATGGCATGAATGGCAGTGTCTTGCACAATGGCACCCAGTCTGAGTTCTTCCCCATCCAAACGGGGGTTAAAAAAAGAATGTACTGGCACCAACTCTCTTTTCCATTTTCTTGACCGCCTTCCTTACTCGTGCCAGTGCCAATTAGCCGGCAGGGTGGACATCGAGTAGCAGGTGAAGGATCATTTAAACATACGATGACTCCCTGACTTCCTTCAAACTTATTTCTCTTCCTTCATTTTTTACTTATTTCCCTGACTTCCTTCAAACTTATTTTCCTTCCTTCATTTTTACTTATTTCCCTGACTTCCTTCAAACTTATTTCCCTTCCTTCATTTTGACTTATTTTACCTCACCCTTCTATTTGGTTATCACCCTCCTTACTTCATTCATTAACCTGCTATGGTTCCAAGGTCTAATGGGCCCCAGTTCTAATGGGCCCCACACTTACCGAACCTACCCACACTACCCACACTTACCTAACCTACCCACACTACCCACACTTCCCTAACCTACCCACACTACCCACACCCCTAACCTACCCACACTCCCTAACCTACCCACACCCTACACTTCCCTAACCTACCCACACCCCCACACCCCTAACCTACCCACACTTACCCACACTACCCACACTCACCCATCTCTCAGCCGTCGTCGGAAAAAAACACCATTATATTATTGCCTATATCAAGAGAGTCAGCCTCACCAGTTGGGCACTATCTTCCCCCCACAGGGCGCCGGAACAGCACCTAGACGTCTGGTAAAGAAATCCCATACAACCCCTCGCATTTCTCACCTCTATTGCATTAATTAACTTTGGTCTCTCCTCACATTATCACATAGGGATTTCTATGTGACTTTGTTTGCATAATGAATGATTTAATGACTTGTGTTTTTTAGTTTTTTAATTGATGATTAATTATTTTGTGATTTTTTGAGGGTCATGTGTTGGTTAGACACGGTTTGTTTTAGCTTATGCTTGATCACCTTAATGCTGACCTGACCTGACCTGACCTAAACCTTTTATCTTATGCTTGATCACCTTAATGCTGACCTGACCTGACCTGACCTAACTTAACCTTTTATCTTATGCTTGATCACCTTAATGCTGACCTGACCTGACCTGACCCACTTTATCTTATGCTTGATCACCTTAATGCTGACCTGACCTGACCTGACCTAACTAACCTTTTATCTTAGCTTGATCACCTAATGCTGACCTGACCGACCTTTTATCTTATGCTTGATCACCTTAATGCTGACCTGACCTGGACCTGACCTTATATCTTATGCTTGATCACCTGTGACCTGACCTGACCTTTTATCTTATGTGATCACCTTAATGCTGACCTACCTACCGAACTTAACCTTTTTATCTTATGCCAATCACCTTAATGCTGACCTGACCTGACCTGACCTAACTTAACCTTTATCTTATGCTTGATCACCTTAATGCTGACCTGACCTGACCTAACTTAACCTTTTATCTTATGCTTGATCACCTTAATGCTGACCTGACCTGACCTGACCTTACCTTACCTTTTATCTTATGCTGATCACCTTAATGCTCACCTGACCTGACCTTTTATCTTATGCTTGATCACCTTAATGCTGACTGACCTGACCTGACCTAACCTAACCTACCTGACCTAATATAACCTACTATTAAGGTGTTCAATAATCAGATGACAAAAATTTCTCCTGTCTAATCTTCATGTAATCTAACCATTTTTTTTCCTTAGGCTTTTCATTAATAAATTCTGAGATGATTTACATAAATATTTTGATATTGGAATTGGAATGAATCAGGTTGACTAGAGTTTGAGAATTAGTGAGAGAATTTGCATGGCGTATTGGGAATTTTCTTACGAGTTTGTGATGGTAGGGTAATGCTGACCCGTTCCTGCAAAAATAATGATTTATATGAGATAAATTTACAATGATTTTTGTAATGTTTGTTTTAATTATATTTACATTCCCCTTACGTACTCTGGCCCCCCTCCTCCCTCCCCGCTGCTATATAGAGTGGTATATAGGATGTGAATAGTGGAGTGAGGAGGAGGTCGTGTATCAAAACTAAGTGAGCAGTCTAATGGGTCTTAATGGGTATAGGGACTAATGGGCAGTCCTAGTGGGTATGGGGACTAATGGGCCCCAGTCCTAGTGGGTATGGGGACTAATGGGCCCCAGTCCTAGTGGGTATGGGGACTAATGGGCCCCAGTCCTTGTGGGTATGGGGACTAATGGGCCCCAGTCTTTGTGGGTATGGGGACTAATGGGCCCCAGTCCTAGTGGGTATGGGGACTAATGGACCCCACTGCCAAGGGGTCCCAGCCCAATTAGGTCCCTGTCCTAATGGGTTTCAGTAATAATGGGTAAGAGTTCTAATGGACCCCACTGCCAAGGGGTCCCAGCCCAATTAGGTCCCTGTCCTAATGGGTTTCAGTAATAATGGGTAAGAGTTCTAATGGGCCTCAATGCTAAGGGGTCCCAGCCCAATTAGGTCCCTGTCGTAATGGGTTTCAGTAATAATGGGCCCCAATCTTAATTGGTTACGTTAGATTGGCTTATTAGACTTGGGCCTTATAATGACTTACAACTTACTAATTATTACCTCAGTAATTAAGCAGGTGTATGTAATGGCCGGTCTCTCACGCTACACCTGTGTGAATTATGCTTAGAAACACGCCCTTGGGACCAGGTATGGCTCTGACGTCACACTTGGATCTGTGACGTCACCTTCTTTTATGACGTCACACTTGGATCTGTGACGTCACCTTTTATGACGTCATACTTGGCACTATAGCGTGACACTTGTTTGGCTGGCTACATGATGTCATCCCGCACCTGGAACTTGTGAGATTGTGTTTACTCTGGAACTCACTAAGACA